GGCACTTGGAATAAAGGAAAATCAAACGCCAATTTCAAAATTTGGTTTTGCGCATGCGCAGTGCCAACTTTTTTATTTATGGAAGAATTTAAACGAAATTTGATACATAGGCACTTGGGATAAAGGAAAATCAAACGCCAATTTCAAAATTTGGTTTTGCGCATGCGCAGTGCCAACTTTTTTATTTATGGAAGAATTTAAACGAAATTTGATACATAGGCACTTGGGATAAAGGAAAATCAAACGCAATTTCAAAATTTGGTTTTGCGCATGCGCAGTGCCAACTTTTTTATTTATGGAAGAATTTAAACGAAATTTGATACAGAAGCACTTCGAATAAAGGAAAATCAAACGCCAATTTCAAAATTTTGTTTTGCGCATGCGCAGTGCCAACTTTTTTATTTATGGAAGAATTTAAACGAAATTTGATACATAGGCACTTGGGATAAAGGAAAATCAACCGCCAATTTCAAAATTTGGTTTTGCGCATGCGCAGTGCCAACTTTTTTATTTATGGAAGAATTTAAACGAAATTTGATACATAGGCACTTGGGATAAAGGAAAATCAAACGCCAATTTCAAAATTTGGTTTTGCGCATGCGCAGTGCCAACTTTTTTATTTATGGAAGAATTTAAATGAAATGTGATACATAGGCACTTGGAATAAAGGAAAATCTAGCGCCAGTTTCAAAATTTTATTTTGCGCATGCGCCGTGCCACCTTTTTTATCTATGGAACTATTTAAGTGAAATTTGATACTTAGGCGCTTGGAACAAAGGAAAATCTTAGTTTATTAGTTAGTTATAGTAAATTAGTTTTAAAAATTAGGTTTGCGCATGCGCAGTTCCAACTTTCTTATTTAGAAAAGCATTGAAATGAAATTCTTCTCATAAACTGAAATTGAAGTAGCACGTCAACAATGGATTGCCCATGTGCAACGCTATCTTTCATATTTGTGGCCGGCTTTTTACGATTTTAACAGAAGTTGCATCTTACAAATGGGAAATGAATGCAAGTGGAAATGCGCTTTATGTAAATCGTTTACGATTACTTTTTAACTTGTTTATTATAGCAGCCTACTCCGATGTATAAACACGTAATTAATTAATGAGTAGGTACTTTTGTGAAAAATATTGAATAACATAAAAACTGCGGGGTTTAAGCACAGGGCACCCTTTATAAACATTGAAGAGAACGCAAAAGACAATCGAATAGCGAAATAAAACAGTAGTAGTTCCATTTGAAAAAGAATAGTTATAGCAGTTTGAACAAATGGCATTGAAACAAGTAAAAATATGCAGGATGTTCTATTTAAAAAAATCAGTTATTTATTGACATCGTAAAAATGGGACACCCTGTACATGCAAAAATAATTTCTGTAGATCCGCAACCACCAATATTTTTTACCAGGTATCATCAGCTATGTGAGAAAAACCGACGCATTGTTGCAGGACCCTGTATATAGCCAAATACTATAATATTAAATCAAAATTTTTTTGTGGCTCTTTCAAAACTGGGAAATTTTATAAGTTGTAATTTTTGGCTCTTATGTTTCAATAGATTGCCGACCCCTGGTATAGGGTATCACACAAATACAAATTATTCCCAAAAATATTCAAAATTATTAATTACATTACCCAAAACTCTTAGTATGTTAAATGTGCAGTTGAAATTACAAAACTAACCAAGTCCCTCAGTCAAGAATGACCTATTAGTAACTAATCACTGAATCCTAAAACACTTTCCACATTTAAATTGAGATTCCGGGCAAAAATTCGCACGTATAAGGCCAAGTACAAGTAAAACATATAAGGCAACCCTTACCTTGGAATAAAGTTAGATGTTGATGCCAAGAAGTGAGGTCAGTTCTCGCATCCAAACCCTGAAATCAATCAAAAGAAATCCGGACGGCTCGCTATAGTATATAATTAATTGATTAATGCCTAAAAGGCCTCGCTCTACTCGTAATCTGCTTCACTGACTTACTTGGACAACCCCTTCATAAGGAAGTGGTGGTCTTCAATAACGCGTTTCAAACTCGATCATAACTTAACTGAGATGGCAAAGGTACTGAAGTTTACAAATTACTTACATGTAATCGCATATAACCCTGAAGGGGCAAAATAGTTATCAACTAAGATGTTAAAGAGTTCCTTATGAAGATCGCTCCTTGATATTGGATCTCCTTTATGATCCGGTGCCCATTTCACAGCACAATCGCCGCTTGTTGACGACATAAAAATTTACCTACCTCTTAAATAAGAGGGCTAATTATAGATGAAGCAACAATTGTCGATGGAAATTGCAATTGCAGCCGAAACCAAAACAAAATACCGACACTCTAAGTCTAAGCAAACGAAATGCACAATGGCGGTACATACGATTAGAAAGAAGGTCGCAAATGTATATTCCTCGGTATATAGAATAGAATACTCAATCGTCGACTCATCTATTCCCACGCTTTTTTTTTGTGACAACGGATGCATCCAACTCAGGCTGGTGTGCTCAGGTGGGGAAAAGGACAGGACAAGGGATATTGTCACCTCATCAGGGACGTTGGGGCATAAATCACAAATAGATTTATGCAGCGTATGCAATCCAACCATTTGCGAATAAACTAAGAGGAACGTCCACCCTGACCCGATGCGACTATCGAACAATGGCGGTATGCATTCGAAATAAGGGAGGCGCGAAATTAAGTTTGGATCCAAGACGGAAAAGGATTCACATAGACAATCCTGCTGGATATTTTCCTCTTGCTGAGAGTTTACTGACTTAATCAAATGTTGTCAGTTACGACCACCAAGGGAACGACCAGAGAAAAATTGAACCACATGTTCATCACCACAAGGAGGCAGGCGGGTAGCAAGTAGGACGGCGTTTTGGTAACACCCATTAAGCACGTGATGTGTTTAGCACCTTTTTAAACCCCCTTCCTGCCTGGTGATACATGGTGTGGTTTCATTTTTTTAGTACAAAGTATCTTAAAATGTTCAGAATATTACGAGGGTCGTTCGGTCCTCCTATTTTTTGCACTGAAACTACAGCCGATACACAAATCGCAATAGCACAGCTAAATAGAACAATATTTCAGCTCCAGATTGTAATTTTTCCACATACTACCACTATTTGTAATGCACTTTCGCCTTCAATAGGCAAAATCTTGCATGGTACGTAGTGCTTTTGGATATCTTGGATCCGCTACAAGACCACAATGACTAAACCCTATTTCCAGGGTAAGGGCAGAGAAGAAGACCAACAAGTCGTCTGCAACATAACACTAGACCCTTAGACCATACAGTACATGGACTGCTATTCGCCCTATGCTTTCAATAAAAAATGGATGGTCACGGATAGAGGGCACTGTAGTCGTGGGTATGTTAAAGTCACTAGATATAGAAAGTACCGCAATCATCCGCCATTTTTGGGCAAATTTGCTGCCAACTTAAAAAAATTGACAAATAAAATCTGAATAGCTGTCATTTTTTATAACCTGACTTCATAGTACTGTCATGTTTTATAAAAATATATACAGATATCTCCAAACAGGTGGAACAATCCCTAACATTAAAGTTACTAGAATCTGGTAACTTCCGCCATTTTTGGGCAAAAATCATGCGTTCTCTCTCTCTAACACACGAGCCCAATGGATTGCGGTACTTTCTATATTTAGTGATTTTAGGGTATGTGAATCTCAAGGTAAACTAAAGTCGTGTAAACACCACTAGGATCGCTTAAAGAGCAGTTTTATAGTAACCGCGTAGTACGGGAAGGTTTAAATACTCTTGATTAATTTCTATACGTCCATAAATAAGAATAGGTTTGCTTTTTTTGCCATATCTAGGCAATTAATTAATTGACGTTTGTGAATTTATAGGTTGACAGTCTCAAATCGTGTCTAATCGGAAAACTTCGACAGACTCGTTTACCCTGAAACTCACATACCCAGGCGATGTCCTTGACCATATTTTAGTTACAATTAGCAGTCCATGTACTATATGGTCTAAGACTAGACCCCACACCTGACACCAGTGTTGACTGTGTTGCCACATCCACCGTACAGCTCCGATTTACCGCCTTCGGACCTCCATCTTTTTGGACCTCTGAATGATGGACCACGCGAAGAACATAATATTAATACTTATTTATGACAAAACACGTTCGCCTTCATGTATCTATCAAAATCAAACGTTTAGTAGGCACAACATTCTTGAATTTCAATGAAAAATTAAATCAAAACGAAGGTAAATTTCCATTGAGTGTATTCACATAAACGTCAATTAATGTCACTCACATTCTCTCGGAAAGTGTAAAATTTCATCCAATTGCGAGCCCCGATATCAGTGATATGGTTTTGAATTACCTAATGGAATAAATGGAAAGTCAAATCCCTACGGTGCTTCATTTAATTCGAAATTGTGGATTGCAGTGATTTATCTTAATTTCAATTAGTAGCTGAAGTACGCTATGACAACTTTGTAATTTTGTAATGTTATGTCGATACCTACCTCCAATACCTACCCTACCATAGGTCGTATGCGCAGTCGGATTTCATTACACTAACATGATATATTACGGGAAGGGTCATGATCCACTTACGCACATTTACATTTCTCTTATAACGTTTTATATGGCATTTCAGTGTATTTTGTACGTGTCGGTATAGGAAAATTCTCTATCGGCACTCACGCCTGGTTTGGCATTGTTTGTATTCATGTGGTAGTTCATTTGCGAATTGCCAAAATTTATAGAGTACAAGAACTCGCAAGTTTACATGCACAAGGAGAGTACTAAAAGTCCTATATCGCTATGCAATAAACCCCTGCAAGGATATAATAGGTTATGCAAAATTATCACGCCCTTTGCTTGAGATTAAAATTGTTCACATAAACCGTAATCATTGGGCAAGTAATACGTAATCCACAGGGTGTTTGTAACACGATTCCCGTATTCGTTCAGTTACGATAAATGCTGCTGTCATCGACGTTATGGTGGCAAGGCTAAACACTGCACGGCTCCTTGCTCTTCTGCTCCGGAAAACTCCGCCGGCAGCGAGTAATGGCGTCAACCGACTGCCACCAAGAAGGAGGGCATATTCTCGTCACCCATCGTTCCACCAACCACTCGTTTGTTGTTCCCCTCGCACTTCTCTGAAAGACCGTCGTTTCGCCACTGATTTCCAGTTGTGTGCTGCAAACAACTATCAACACATACGGACTTCATTTTTTACGCCGACTAGGGAGAGATTTATAGTGGAATTTTTTCGTCACCGATGTTGCTTTGACCATTATAGGCTCTGATTTCTTGGTATCTTAATTCTCTTACAGAATGACGTAATAACTAACTCATCGATGGAATTACTGGTCTCTTCACTCGGACGACGCGCAATCAACATGCAGCTAAGTATCCAGATCCTTATAATAGCGAACAATCTTCACCTTTTCACGACATAGTAGTCGAATTTCCAGTTGCTTCGGCCTGTGGGAACCAACCGAGAAGTACCTCACAAGAAGATGCGACACTCCCCGACCACACGCACACGTCCTATATCGCGCCCGTCGACTCACTCAGGATCGTTTGCGCATCCGAGTCCAAGTTCAATCGAATGCTCCAAGATGGTAGTATACAGCGTTCCGAAAGCCCTTGGGCATCTTTACATATCGCATCGAAAAAGAATAACGTATGGCGACCATTTGGTGATTAGGTTTGCATTGTTCCAGATAAATACCCTGTTCGTAATATCCACGATTTTACCCATCGGATTCGCAGATGTTCTGTGTTTACCGTCATCTACTTAGTGAATGCGTACACGCAGATTGCAGTCAACCCAAAGGAAATGGAGAAGGCTGCCGTGATTACCCCGTTTGAACAATTTGAATTTCCTTACATGAACTTAGGTCTCCGCAACGCAGGTCAAACCTGTTTAATATGTTTTGTAATTGGAAAACTTATAATAATTAGGCTTTCTTTCATCAACTTTATTCATGGTATATTTTTACATCTGTCATCACATTGTAAGATTGTTTTCTTTTTAGGATCAAATGGTAGTAGTGCTGGGGATTTAGTAATTATCTCTTTTAACTTTTCGAAACATTCTTGTTGTAAAGGAAGCCACTTGAAGTCAACATTAGATTTTAACAGTTTACAAAGAGGTTTAATGTGATCGGCCATATTTGGAATGTACTTCCTAACATAATTGAAACTACCTATAATTCTCTGCAGTTCGGTTTTATCTCTTGGGCTTTGTAATTTGCGAAGAGACTCTACCCTCTCTGGATCTATTTCCATGCCCTTCTCTGAAAAAACTTGTCCCATAAATTTGACTTGCTTTTGGCAATACTGGAATTTTTCTTTGTTAAATTAAGCGCCCACTTCTTTTGCTCTTCTTATCACTTGTTCGGCTGCCCTGTCATGTTCCTCTTTGTCTATTCCCATGATTATCATATCATCATGGAGCAGCTGCACATTTTCCAAGTCACCAAACTTACTTTCGATCTGTTCTTGGAATAAGTCTTGGGAATTAGAGAGTCCATACGGTAAAACAGTGTATCGATAAATGCCAAAGGGGGTGGCAAAGCAACATTTCCAAGAAGAACTGTCGTCTAATTCTAGATGGTGGTATCCTTCAGCCAAATCAAATACGGAAAATACTTTTTGCCTGTCATTCCGGAACAAACTTCTTCAATTTTTTTTACTGGATGTGGTTTTCTTACAATTTGAGTATTAAGGTCCTGGGGATCTAAACAAATTCTTAACTTACCGTTACTCTTTTCGACGATAACCATTCGGTTTATGCTAGCTCGCGGGTCTATCTCTTCAACCTTGACGATAGCCTTCCTCTGTACAAGTCTATCGAGTTCATCTCTCAAAGCATTTTTTATAGCAAATGGAACCCTTGTAGGGGGGTAGCTAACCGGTTTAAATTTTTCGACCGTTGTAATTTTATACTTTCCCTCAAACCTACCATAACCAGAAAAAATGTTGGATTTCTCAGATATAAATTTATCTTTGCCTCGGTTTTTGTTATACTCTTGAATATTTACTTTATTGATTCTTTTTAAGAGACCAAGATCAACACAAGCTTGACCACCTAATAAAATTTTGTTAACCCCTTCTATGATTACAAAATCTTCATAGACATTTTTGTTTTTTTATTTACAAAATAGGTTTACAGTGCTAATACTTTTAGCCTGAGTGCCTTCAAATCCCTTATAATCAGAGACTTGCTATAACTAGACTGCGCTTAACGTATCTAAGGTGTTGTCGACACAGTATGCAACACACAATGCACCGCGGGGCAAAAATCGCAGAGATGATGTGCAATATAATGAAATAAGCTGTTATTTTAGATGTTCCGTTCTTTAATTATTCTCGTGATTAGCTCGAATTAGTGAACAGATAAATTTCTGTTGAGAATAAACCAATAAACTTAGGTTAACTCGTGCGTATCAACATGTACTCTGGAGATAGAATTTTAAATAATATGCAGATTTCCAACGGATAAAAGTTTAAAGGGCCAATGGATCAGAGCCATTCGAAGAGAAAAATTTACTCCCACCATAGTGCATTTGCGGGGAATGAAGCCTATTTTAGACAGGTACCTACGAAGGTGTTAAACAATAACGCAATACCGAGCGTTTTCGACTTTCCCATTCACTTAAAATAACGTAGAACTAATATTCGACATCCTTTACCAGCAAGACAACGAAAATACCTATTTGCCTATTAGGTATAGACGTAACTAAGTACTTACTGGTACTAAGTATATTTCAGGTTTTGTTACAAGAAAAATAGCTAAAAGTCTGTTAAATGTTCCATATGTGCAGATGCGATATTCGCATCAGAGAGTCATTCAAAGCTTTTAACTAGAAAAAAATCGTGGAGGATTGTTGCACGTATCAAGCGATGAATTAAAAATTTGCCAAATTGCTGAAAATGTGTTCAGGTTTTTCATTCAATCCACACCACACCGCGTTGTAAACAAAATGGTTATCAGCAGTCTAAGAAAAATAAATAACAGTTACAGCCCATTTGGGTTTTTGGATAGGCATATATTGAATCAAAATCCGCTAAATAATCATATCTTACTACTTACATCTTTAGTTTTAAGAGTATATTTTCCCATGCGTGTTCACCACCAAAATACAAATATAAATCGAATTAGGACCAGAGTAAGGCAGTTATATACCAATTTAGTACAAATAAAATACCAATAAATTCGATTAAAACAGTTAACAGTTATATGTTATCTTTTTTTGCTACTAAAATTTAGAATAAACATGGCTAAAGCAAGCTGCAGAACGTACGTCTGCCCCGCGATGAACAGTTGGTTGCCTATCCTATCTTGACAACAGGCGTTTATAGTAAAATCTACGTTACGCGCGGTCTAGTTATAACAAGTCTCTGCTTATAATTGCTTTTTTTCACTACTAGCGTCTGATGACATGATTATTAACCTTTTTTCCACTTGTAAAGTAGGCTTTCTCGGCATTTGTTCAAAGTGGTTAATAATTTTTTATTATTAACTAGTAGTCAATAATGAAAACTGTCACGCTGTCACTTTTAGAAAACACAACCCGAAATTTCGCTCAATGAACGTTTAGACAAGTTCTCTAAAACGAATAATTGCCACCATTCGCAATTTCCAGAGAAATTACATACCTAAAATTATCACATTTTGAAAAAATTCGAACCAAATTACTCTTTGAAAAATCTCAATGACAGAACAAAATACGGCCTGTTTGACTTGTACTTCCACGTACTTGATTGACATGTTAAATTAATAAACAAAAAATTCTGTCCAACCGTTCACTTTCTTATCAATATAATATGTTAATTTAGAGGATTTCAAGTGCTAGTAGTGAAAAAAATAGTATATATACCACGGTAGAGAAGTCTCTTATTGCCTTCGCACCTTACACCCCTCGGCGCAAGCGCCTCGAGATGTAATCTTGGTGCTCAGGCAATAATACTGGACTTCTCTACCTTGATATATAATGTACTATTTTATTATACCTGAATCACAATCTCCGTTTAAAAGACTCAAATGCGTGCGAAAAAAGGCCTTTAAAACACACGTGCTTTAAAGTTGCTAAGTAACGATACTTCAAGTATGACTTTTGAAACTGTCATCTGGATGAAATAAAAAATCCTCTTAGGTCGCTTTCTGTAAATGCAGAACATTTCTTTGGCTTGTACCTATCCTTTGGTTGAAGCTTTTACAAAAGCGCGTAATTTAGGGTATGCTTCCAAATCTGTTCCACTTTTTAATCGCAGCATTGCTTTAAAGTTTTGAATGAGTGCACCAAAATATAGAAGATTTAAATACCTTTGACATTTCCTTCATATATGCCAGCATTATGGATGCATTTAAGACTGTATTCGTAACTGCCTATTCATCCATGGAAACAACTTTTCATATTCTTTATAATAGGCTTTACTGGAGTTGGATTTTACACCTACCAACGTTTGTTTAGATTTTACAACAATCAATTTAATGGACGGTGTATTATCTTTTTCAACGGAAATCGTTTAATTCACAAAGACGATGATTTTTTAAGCAAACGTCAAGTGACATTTCCATGGCACTCGTGAAATTACGAACACCCAGCCCACTTAATTAGACATGCATTCGAGTATAACGTCAATATGACTTCATTGTATTTCCTATTTTTAAATTATACTGCAGGTATAATAAGAAATACTATAAGATACACGTGTATAATTGGTCTTTAAAGCACTTGCAACGTTAAAGGCACTCCGCTTTGCGTCGTGCCCTTAAACTCGTTGCGCGTGCTTTAAAGACTTGATTATACACTTGTATCTTAATATACTATTACGTATCTTAAATTGTTTGTCTATTTTATCAAAAATTTTGCGCGGGATCACAGAGACGTCAGCTCCTGTGTCCAGTTTTACCTTGAATTTCGTGTCCTCAATTTCGACAATCTCGTCCCAAAGGTCCTTAGAACTACCTAAAAAATTAACATGATTGACAAATAAACTGCTACAGCTATCTTCACTATCGCTGTTGACATTTTGTTGCACATTTTTAATATTTCTCACTCGGCAAGCAATTGCGAACTGGTTTAAAATTCCACACTTTGTGCAAGGCTTCCCGAACGCCGGACACTCCTGGGAGCCATGCATACTTAGACAACGCTTACACTTAAATTTTTCCTGTGCTTTGGTGTCGTTTTGTTTGGAGCCCTTTCTCTTGACATGCCTTTTTGTAGCCGTGTTTACTTCTGCGCTTTCTTCAGAAAACATTTTGTTTTGATTTTTACTCATTTCGCTGGCACGACAAATATCTATAGCTTTATTTAACTTTAACTTATCAACCCTTAGCAAGGCTTCTCGTGTAACTGTGTCACGAATACCCATGACAATTTTATCCCTTAGAGCTTTTTCTTCAACAGTTCCATCTGGGTCTATTGTGTTGTAATTGCAAGACTTCACGAGATGTTTTATGTCAGTTAGAAAATGTTCGAATGATTCACCTTCTTTCTGGTTCCTACTCAGAACCTTGTGCCTTTCAAATACCTCATTAAAACGTGGATTTACCTACATATGCCTCCAATTGTCCCATCATATATTTGTAAGGATCATCTGTTCCATCGGGTATTGCAATGGTGCACATAATTCACGAAGATTCGGTACCAATAATATTTCTCAGAATCGCTAACTTTACATTGGTATTATATAGATTCATGTTGCCCTGTAGCAACCAAGTAGTCTTCGAAGGCGACCTTCCAAAACTTCCACTCCATGGCCGCATTCTGCCCTTGCAGGTCAAAATCAGTGGGTAGCTTTACTGGTCCGTGAGTATACGACTGCGCCATGTTTAATATGTTTTGTAATTGGAAAACTTATAATAATTAGGCTTTCTTTCATCAACTTTATTCATGGTATATTTTTACATCTGTCACTTCTCTTAACATTAACTTATGCTAGGCGATTACACATGATTGCAACATGGTATGGTTGCAATACCAAACAAAACCTTTCAAAGATTTATTGACGACGTGGTTTATGAGCTTGATTTTTGTTTTCCATACGTGGATTACTTGAAGTACTTTTTCGGCGATGCAGTGACGTTTCAATGAACCAACGGCCCATCAGTCCCCCAAAATCGTAAAATCGCCGGGCGACTGCGATTAGCGAGAGACCAAAATTTAATCGCCGATACTGTATGCGGTAAGTATGCGTGTCTGAACGGCTACATAAGACACAATTTTTCAGATGTATCCGAGATACCGGTATCCGGGCGACTGTATCCCGTGTAACATTTTTATCGTGTTTTATGTTATTGCAAATATATCGGTTCGGTTCGGTTGATATTTTTAACATGTTTACCCATAAGGAGAAGATTGGATGGTTGCTTCCGCGCTGGAGGTAGCCATTTTGAACAATACTTGTAGATTAAGAAGAGATACATGCAATTTTTAGTCATAAATTGTTACTATTGTTGAAAAATATTTCGCCCTGTATCTTCGCAACAAACACCCTAGTGTATACTAGAGCGCATTAGAAAGAATACAATAAAACTGAATAGGTACTCTCGTGAATACCGAAAGATCCTCGAGATCGTTTTTGGGTTGTAACTTTTCATAGTCTACGTAGCTGAACAGTGAACATGTGTACCAATTCAGAACGAGGACATTTTTAAACAAAGTTATCATGTATACGAATAGACAGACAGACAGCGAGACAAAATTATAAATAAAGTCTGGAACGATAATTATTATAATCCTTCCTTAATTATATTCCTTAAGTGACAATTGGCCCATATGAATAAAAAGAAGCAAATGCTTATACTTGCAAAATTCAAAGTAAATACTCGTAATTGCTCCTTCACACTGGGCGATTTAGCAGCGCTGCTGAGCAGCAGGACAGGACGCAGTGCAGTGCTGCTAAACCATGCTAAACAGACCCGTATGAAGGGGCAGTTACGAGTATTTACTTTGAATTTTGTAAGTATAAGCGTTTGCTTCCTTTTATTCATACGGCCCAATTTACAGAGAAATATGGGTTTCTTTTCTAATATGCGGTCTATGGAATATATAAATAAATAAATGCATAAATAACAAATAATATGTGTACTTTATCTAATTAAAGGAGCAATATAGAGGAATTATGAACGCTTAACATGCAGTACCTAGTTAATTTTTTTATTTGTTACTCAGTTGTAAACGTTAATTAACAAGACAAAACGCAAACGGGTAAACGTCATGTTTAAACGCTACTGACTTGTAAAACTGACAGCAGACTTGTAAAACTGACAGCAGACCTGTAAAAATTTTACAAGTTATTAATCTAGTAATTTCATTGGCCAGAATTAATGCGAAGTCTCTGTTACATGGATCACATGATATTTTAGACATTTCTTCAAGATCAATTTAAGAACTAATTATTTACGTTTACTATTGTTTACAAATGAGTAACAAATAAAATATTGTACATTATACGCCAGGTAATAGTTTTTACTGGCTCTAGGAGATGACAGGCTCGCCTGACGGCTCGCCAGTCAACTTCTCCTATCGCCAGTAAAAACTCACTTACCTGGCTAATAATGTAAAATACTATAATCAATCACATTCCTCAAATGTTATAACCATGACATTATTAATCGCAACCATTGAGTTTCATATTGTGCTATCCGGATGGTTTCCACCCATAATTATGGAAGGTAGTTAATATCTCATTCCAGACATACACAGATAAACTGTGACCAAGATAAGGATGTCTACCATGTGGATCTCCGAAACCATAGAAGATGCGACGATGATTAAATCAGAGAAAAGATGCGCAATTAAAGGGTTATTATCATGATTAAAAAAAAACAGAAAATGCGAAATGGTTCCGAAGATATGCCAAAAAAACCGAAAGTTGACGATTTCGTTTTTGTTTCTTTCTGATGTTATTTGAAAGCTATAAAAAATATAAAAGAACAGTTGCTGATTGCAACTGTTCGAGCTCTACTGAATGACGTTGAGGCATTTTCAATACCACGTTTTGTTTCGGATAAATCAACTTTATTTTATTATATTGCTCAGAAAAAAGTTGAATAGCATTTCGTATTACTAATACAATGATGTATGGCAAACCAAAAAATAAAAAAAAAGTTGGAAACTGTTGGTTTCAACAACAGGATGATTATCCTGCAAAATCAAATCCTGTTGAAACCAACAGTTTTCAAGTTTTCTTTTGTTTTGGTGTGCCGTACGTAGATCGCATTATCATATGTAAATCGCATATTAGAGCGGCCTCCCTAATATGTCTCATGTAAGATAAAAGTTGAGGTGTTCGAGGATTTTTGTCAAAAATGTTTACGGCAAGTTTACTGTACTTTCTGCCAGTAAACTTGCTACCGAATTTCTATTTAACTGGCAACTGCACTTTCCGCCCATTACCCTAATCCTAATTTACATTTGGCCAGTTTACTGGCGGATAGTACTTTCGGCTAGTAAAGTTGCCAAGTGTAAATGAGAGGAAAGTGCACTTTCCAGTCGCTTGCTACTTGCCCGCAAGCGGCAAGTGAATTTGAGGAGCTAGTTCGGTGACCGATTTGCCTGTCTGGACTGTCAAATTTATGTAGTAGTCCAGTACGTGGGTATCAAAAAGGGGTGTTTTAATGCAAAAGGTGGGGTAGTATTTTTCCTATGTTGTGACCTCGATGCGCTCGAACCGCCATTTTGGATTTTAGGTACAAAAATTTGATTTTTTTGATAATAACTCAAAAACGACAAAAGATGTTATATACAAAGTTAAAGAGGACAAAATTTCCATTATTCTATTATTCTAAAATTTTTCATTAGGGCCCCAAGCTTAACAACATACTAAAAAATCGCTACTATACCCCACCTTTTGCATTCAAAAAACCCCCAATTACTGGACTATATAGTTTCAGTGTAGTTGCTGCATAGAACAATGAAGTGGAACAATGACCAAATCAAAAAGTTTGGGAACTAAGAAAAGGAGACCACACGAATAAGCTAAAACGGGACAATCCGTTCGAACAACTAGTAAAAGAAGTGATAGAAACAGAAAACATGCCGTGCACTGATATTATTAGTCCAGGCAAATTGGACGAAAATTGTTAATGGAGCTTTGCCAAGTGGATATGTTAAAAAAACAAGACAAAAGTTAATGTCAATAGCCACAAGAACCACCACCGAGTTACATATTTACATTTGAAGCAAGAAAACTTGAACACGGTGACACACTGACACCTACCTTGGCGTACAAATCAGACCACAGAGAAACGAAGGCGAGCAGAAATTAATGAAAGATTCAAAAAAGCTGGCAAAGAATGATTATGCATAGAATAAGAAGTTTTATTAGCAAGAAGAAGGTATCCAGCGAAAACAAAGATGATGGATGTTACCAGTAATATTTAAGACCAATTCTGACGTTATGCGCAGCGAATCATGGACGTTAGGGAGAAAAAGAACAAGGGAAATACAGAACAATCGACAGTGAAAATAATCTGCGAAGAGTGAAGGCGGAATCACAAGAAGAGACCACAGACGGCAATGAAAGATGTTAAAGAAAAGAGTTGCAAGTTACAGCCGATACAGAATTCATAGCGAGCCAAACAGTTGAGTTGTTGGGCCACCTTTGCCCCCAGAACGGGAAGGAAAAGGGGGGAGATGAGCGATGGGAACAAGTTAAGCAAATATGGGAAGCGAAAATCCAACACAACAGTCAGGAGAGGCTCGACCAAGGGCAGACGTGGGGAAGATACCGGTGGCAAAGGACATAAAGAAAAGACGGAAAATCCCTGGACTGAAGCGGAGAAAACCCTGGCAAGAGACAGAAAGGAGTGGACAAGAATTCGTACATGACAGGCTATAAAATGATTGTATTCAGTAATGTAATGTATTTCACAGTACACCTAACGGTTGGTAGATTTTTATATAGAACGGTGTCCCGCATTATATGATATATATATATAGACCA